GGGTAGAATATCATAGTTCAGATAAAAAAAAAATGGCTCCAAAAGTGTCTGGGAGGTGATTGGGTCATTGGGGTACTTATCTGTGGATGGGTGGAATACAGCTTAGGGTGCTGTTACAAGGTGGGGCCACCGCCAGCAGTGTTGGCACACTCCTGGAATCCCAGCACTTGGAAGGCTGAGGCAGGAGGATCACCACGGCTTTCAGGTCAGCCTGGGCTACATAGTGAGCTCACCACCAGCCTAAATTACATAGTGAGACCCTGCATTGAGAAAGAGGAGGTGGGGATGTAGCTCAGCAGCACAAGTGCCTGCCCAACAAGTGTGAGGTCCTGAGTTTGATTTCTGGTACCAAAAAAAAAAAGTGGGGCTCGTTTAGAGGTGGGTTGCTAGGGGCACTGTCCCAGCTCCTCCCTCCTACCTGCCTCTTTCCTCATTGCCATAGGGTGAGCCCTTCCTTCACCAGGCCCCTCTGCCACTTTGCTTCTGCTTGGAGACTGCCAGCTACGGACTAAACTCTTTTTTTTTTTTTTTTTTTTTTTGCGGAACCGGGGATTGAACTCAGGCCCTTGTGCTTGCCAGGGAAGTGCTTATTCCACGGAGCCATCTCCCTGGCCTGGACTAAACTCTTGAACCAAAATAAACTCTGTTGAGGTGTCAGCTGTTGTGCTTCTGTGACAGGAAAGTGACTAAGATACCCCACAGCATTGTTCTAATTCCTGTATTCCTGAGTTAGTCTCTCAGCCTAGTACCCCTTCTCTGGTCGCTTAGACCAAGCCAGATCACCTTGGGTGATGTTCTCTGGTGACATCCCCAGGTGCCAGGTGCCTGCCATATGCCTGTCACACCATGTGTGGACTGTGGGCACAGTGCAGATGTGGACACAGGCTTTTTCTGGCCTGCTTGTCAGCTACCTACTGTGCTGCTGAGTGAGGGAGTGCGTGATGTTAACTATGTTAATATTTGTCATCAACTTTACCAGATTATGCTTACAGTGATTTAGTGAGGTGCTGTGTACAAAAAATGAAATTCCTCAATTCCATCTGTATAGTTGGGATTTTTTTTTTTTTTTTTTTTTTTTTTTTGGTCTTTTTAGACAGTCTCACTGTGCAGTTCAGGCTGGCCTTGAGCTCACTTTGTTTTTGTTTTTGTTTTTTTTTAATATTTATTTATTTGTGTGTGTGTGTGTGTGTGGCCAGCTCAGCCCACCAGGGGGCGGGGCTGGCTGGCATGTGGTGCTGGGGGATTGAACCGCAGTCCCTGTGTTTTTGCTTAGCTTAGCTTGTTCTAAGTAGGTGTTTTAGACCACTGAGCCATCTCACCAGCCCCTTGAGCTCACTTTGAAGGCCAGGCTGGTCTTTTTTTATTTTTTTAATTTTTTTTTTTTAATTTGTGTGTGTGTGTGTGTGTGTGTGTGTGTGCCAGCTCAGCCCATCAGGGGGCGGGGCTGGCTGGCATGTGGTGCTGGGGGATTGAACCGCGGTCCCTGTGCTTTGCTAAGCTTGTTCTAAGTAGGTGCTTTAGACCACTGAGCCATCTCCCCAGCCCCCTGCCAGGCTGGTCTTGAACTCGCAGCAGTCCTCTTGCCTCAGCCTTCCGAGTGCTGGGTTTACAGGTGCGCATCACCATGCCGGGCCTTTCAGTTGAGTCTTGACAGTTGTATGAAGTTGTGTCCCGTGGACGGAGAAAATTTCTTTCCATACTTCAGCACATTCTCTAGCCTCTCAGGCAGTGAGTGTCCGACTCTTCCAGCTCTTCCACTCACTGTTTTGCTCCTTTATCTCTATAGTTTTGCCTTTTCTGGGGTTTCAGCCTCATGGAATCTTTACTGTATACAGTCTCCATGGCCTTTTTGAATGTGGTACAATGCTTTTGAGGTTCGTCTCTGTTTTATGTTATCAGCAGTTCAGTGTGTTTTTAGAAGAGCCTAAGTCTAGGGCTGGGGGGAGATGACTCGGTGGAATAAGCGCTTCCCTGGCAAGAACAAGGGCCTGAGTTCAATCCCCAGTTCCGCAAAAAAAAAAAAAAAAAAAAGAATAGAATAGCCTAGGTCCAGAAAGAACTAACTAGCCCCAGCACGGTTTGGTTGGTGAGAGAGTTTGCTAAAAGGCATGCCTGTGCACTTGTGGGCACCCAGCTGTGCAGGAGGGCTGCAAGGCCAGAGCAATCTCCGGTCTGAGTTCTCTGGGGCTTCCAGAAGCTCTTTGTTTCCAGGGTCGGGAAGATTGAGCCGGAGCAGACAGGAGGATCTCTGTCTTCTGTTGAACCATCTGGCCTAAAGAAATGTGTAAAAGGACTGGGGGTCACATTCCGTGGGAGAGTACTGGCATGGTGTGTGCGAAGCCCTGGGTTCCATTTCTAGCACCAGAACAAAGAAATGTATAAAAATGTGAACCATCCCTTTGTTGGGAGCCACAGAAGCTGGAAACTGGTCACATTTGTGAAAGTGACTACACCTCAGTGCGTAAAGCAGTCAAGCTACCTCAGTCCTGAGATAGGCATCCTGACTGGTTACTGTCAGCTGTTAGTCACTAGGCAACCTGTGCCACACGACACAGCTAGCTTTGCAAGGGTATAAACAAACACCCCTACTGTGGTCTGTTTGCAACTAGGCAGATGGGCCGCCACCTGACCCAGTTCTTGTCTCCTTACCTATTCCTCATTCCTGCTGCCAACCACAGGGAGAGACCAATGGATCCCAACATCACTCTTTACCAAAATTTCTAGTACTAGAAAATAGAGTTGCAAGGGCTGGGGAGATAACTCAGGAGAATAAGTGCCTGCCTGGCAAGCACAGGGTCCTGAGTTCAATCCCCAGTACTGCAAAAAAAAAGAAAAAAAAGAAAGAAAAGAAAAAGAAAATAGAGTTGCTTTTCATAACAAATTTATTTATATTAACATGTAGCAGATTGCTTATTGTTACTTTAGATGAATTAATAGCACACACACACACACACACACACACACACTCGGGGGCTCTAAGGTTAGAGTCCAGGACCTCCTACATGCTAAACAAGTACTATGTCCGTCGTATCACCAGCCTGGGTTGGGGATCCCTGCAGTGGGTTCCAATCTCCTACCAGGTGTTACAGCATGAAAGATTGAGAGTCAGGGTGACTGTGCAGTAGCAGGGTTCTGGAAAGACCAGTTGTTCTCAGGGGAAAAGAGACCAAAAGGCAGCTAGGACCTCTGTGTTTATTGATCACATTCACATTGAGAAAAATGATGAGGGGATTATGGATGACTCAGAGGGGGGTGGTGGCCTCATGCTGAGAAGGTCCTTCTGTTTTGTCATTGTTAGAGTCTTTAAATTCAGTAAAAAAAAAAACAAAAAAAAAAAAAACAAAACCCATCACCAAAACAAAAACCCCCTCAAAGCCCCCAAAGTTTTGCAGCCATACATAGGAGGGGTATGGGCAGGGGGAGGTATCTGTATATCCAGTCCCAGCTCCCAGCCCATGTGGCTTGGGCAGCAATAAAGGATATGGGGTAATGGCCCCCAGAATAAAATTATGTATGTGTGTATTTGGGAAGGAGGGGTGCAAAGTGGTTGGGAATGCTGGGAGGGGAAGGGACAGACAAGTCAGTACTGAACGCACCCCAGGTGGGAGGCCATTTTATAACAGTTCTTGTTGATCATACCACTGTGGGCACCTTCTTTATCAGCAAGACTAGCACCTTGGCAGTCATGGTGAGTAGGGGCTCCACCAGTGCTCTTGGTACAAAGATCCATGGCAAATTCCTCATCCTGCAGCAGTGATTCCTGTTCACAGAACATTTCTGGCCCCCATGTGTCAGCCCATTGACAAAAATCTTGACTGGTCTTTGCCTACCAGAACACTGACTTCAGCTGGTGTGATGTTGATAAAGGCTTTCCAGGGATGGCAGCCCAGACAGGGCGCCCAGGATGACTGCATCCGGACAGGTCCTATCTGCCATCAGGTTGTCAATGCAGGTGGCATTCTGCCTGACCATGGTGTTGGTGCTGGGGCTGCTGTTGGCTCTGCTGTTTAGGTCCACGGTTTGGGCTTGAGCAGGCAGGTGCAGATAGGCCCAGAGCTCAGGGCATACACTGCCTTCTGGACCTGGCTGTGCTAGTGGTGCCTCCTCTGTTGATAGGGTCACAGAAGATGACTTAGAGGGCTGGGTGAGGACCTCATTAAGCTAATGAGGACCTGGAGGGGCACAGTATCATGGGATCTTCAAGGCCTCCAAGCCTTTTTAGGCTTGATTTATAATTTGTGGTTCCCAGCAACCCTAGATGTTTTTAGATGTCTTAACTTCTCATATTACAGTAATAAACTTTACAGACAGATGTGGCTTGGTGTCCTGAAGTTTTCATTGTAGAGAGGTTCTGAGACCAAGAAGTGTGAGAACCATAGGTTAGAGATGTTTCTGAAAGCAGGTTGGGAAGAGGATTAGTGTTAGGGATCAGAGGCGGTCCTGAGACTCAGGGAGATGCCCAGCCTGAGCTTGGAGAAGACTGCAATGGTGATGGCATGGCGAAAGGCTGGGCAGAAGCACCAGGGCGGTCTCACAGCCCCACCCTCTTGCTGAACTCTCAGCTCTCCCAGCACCTTGTTGGGCAGGTTCTGCTGATGTCCTGCTGTGTGTGCTTCTACAGAGAACTAATGAGTAACTCTGGATGGTGGCCAGCGCAACCACGAAGCCCGGAGAAAGCCACTCTGCCAAGATGAAGTGGCACCTGGGGTCTCATGTCAGGTGAAGTGCTTTCTGAGGGAGGAACTCTCTCTGCTGGGTCCCGGTCCTACAAAACCAGTAGGGCTGTTGGCTTTGGCTTTCAAGAAAAAGGAAGAGGAAAAAAACCTTTTCTTCTAACACAGTTCTAACAGTCATTTTAACGTAAGCAGGTGGGAGGCTAGTTACTACGTTTGTCTCCTAGTGGAAACGTACTGCCCGTGTAGGATGGTGCTGGGCATGCCATTAATCAGCTTGCAGCGCGTGCTGGGCCCCCCTCACCTATGCCCACTTCTCTCCTGCAGGCGGAAGGGGCTGTGGTTCCGACTGAGGAAGGTGCTGCTTTGTGTCCTAGGGCTGTACATCGCCATTCCTTTCCTCGTCAGGCTGTGTCCTGGGATACAGGCCAAACTGATTTTCCTGAATTTCGGTAAGTACTACTTGTTACTTTTTCTTAGAGTTTGTTTTCATGGTGATGACTGGCTTTAGTGGGTGTCTTTTTATTCTGAGATTGAATTTACATGCAGTAGAATGTATAGATCTTCAGGGAGCAGTGGGTAGATGGGGAAATAGCACCTGTCTGTCCCCAGGAGCTCCCCGTGTCCACCCAGTGAGGCTTTGTGGGGGTGCTTCCTGGGTCCGTGGGTCCCTGGGTGGCTGTGCCCAGGACACGGAGTCTCCTCAGCCGAGTGAGTATCGCTGCCGGCAGTTTGAAAACTCATCCGCAGCTGTCCGACTGGAGATGCTTTGCCTATGTGGCACTTGAAAAGGCTGTCTTTAGAAAAGGTGACCACTGCAGCCGGGCAGGGTGGTACATGCTTGCAATCCCAGCACTCAGGAGTGTGAAGCCAGTCTGGGCTACGGAGTGAGTTCAACGCCAGCCTGAACTACATAGCGAAACCCTGTCTCAAACCTCCCCCCACAGAAAAGGTGACCATTGGAAAATATAGCCCCTTTAAAACTGAAAGTGTGGGTTATTTTTTCCTTAAAATTTGTTTTGTTTTGCTTTTTCTCTTTTAAAAGAACCTGATGTGCTTTGCTTTCTGTTCTGTCTGTGCTGGCCTTACAGTGTTGTAAGCACTTCCAATTAACCTGTTCTCCCACGTTGTATTTTAGGGAGAGAGAGACAGAGAGACAGACAGGCAGTGTGTATGTGTGTGTTTACTTTGGGAGAAAGGGAGAGGTGTTAAGGTTGTGAGACAGAAGCCAGAGGGCTAGCCTTTGTGTTTACTCGGCATGTTCCTTTAGGACAGTTGTCTCTTAACCTTTTTTGACACATGGACCAATTTCCTGGAAGACAGATTTCTTGTGGGGTGGTGGACGATGGTTGGGGATGATTCAGAGGAGCTGGAAACCTTCATCCCCCACCTGCTTGACAGGAGTGGAGCTCAGGTGGTGATGCTGCCGGGCCAGTCTGGGAGAGCGGGGGTCTGCCGTCCTGCCCTCACTCACCTGCTTGCAGCCCGGGTCCTGAGTGGCTGTAGCCTGCTCTCCAGCTCTGGGGTTGGGAACTCCTGCTTCAGAAGACTGTCTCGACGGGGCGGTGGGGTGGGGGTGAGAGAACAGTGCTTTTGAGGGTGGCAGCGCTGGAACTGGACAAAGCGGGCTCTGTGCAGGCTGCTGGTGAGCTCTTCAAGCTGGGCTTGGCTGTGCGACTGTCAGCCTCAGTACCTGGGCGTGCCACTGCATGGGGATCAGTGAGCTAGGAGACGTGGGGGTCAGGGCCACAGGAAGAGCACACATGGAGGAGCCCCTAGTGCTTGGTTGGTGTGGGTTTGACATGGTGTGGGGAGCATAAGCCAGGAGCAGGTGAGGGGTAGCTGCGTCTCAGGACTGAAAACCCTCTGGAGAAGCCCGGCATTACGTCCTCTGTAGGGTCTGGGCTCGAGCGTTGGGGGTGATCAGCTACTAACAGGCTTGGTCATAGAAGCTGGGCAGAAACTGGCTAACGAAGGGCCGGCGAGATAGCTCGGCAGACCAAGCACCTGCTTAGGCAAGTGCAGGGGCTGGGGTTCAATCCCCAGCACCACATGCCACCCCGGCCCTGTCCCTGGGCGCACTGAGCCTGTGCCTGAGTCTAGGCGTGGTGGTGCGGGCCTGTAATCCCAATGCTGGGGAGGCTGAAAACAGGAGGATCACTACAAGCTCGAGCTGTGTAGTGAGACCGACCCTGCAAAAAAAAAAAACAACCCACAAAACTGGCTAGTGGGGAATTTCTGTTCTTTTAATACTGGTAGGACTGTAAATAGTAAGGTTGCCATTTATGACTTTGTGGCTCTGTACTACTTTTTATTTGGACATGATAAGCTACTCATAAAATACATGGAGCATACTAAAAGGCATTTGATTTTTCTAATGGATGAGTAACAAACTTCTAGGAATTCATGGTTTTGCCACTTTTAGGGAAGTATAGCCTTCAGTAGGAACTAACAGTACCCAACTATCAAGGGAGTTTCGGTTTCCTGACTGTAATGTCCTCAAATGTAGGGAGTAAAGCACAGAAAAAGAGCGGGGTTGAGTGTATGTAACCTTGAAGTTTGGGATGGCAGATTTGCCGGTGTGGACGTTAGGCCCAACCTGCACAGCTGTGCCAGGCTTCCTCAGAAGTTACCAGGGCAGGCCTTCACTGCAGGGGGTGCTGCGCCTGGGACACACTGTGTGTTCCAAGCAAAGCTCTGTATTGATTTTCTGCAGATAAAGTTGGAGCTCCTTAGGCACAACCCACAGATTTTGCTGTGCTGGTTTCCTGAGGGGACGGCAGAGTGTTCTGCCAGAACAGAACTTTGGCACTTCTTCCTTCTCAGCCCCTGCAGGCAGTGCGGAGGCCATGAATAGGCAGTGGGCTGTCGGGAGCCAGGAGGTGTCTGTCCCTAATGCTGTCTGTCCTGTGGGTTCCATGGGAGCAGGAGTGCCTAGGCAGGTGCTTGTGTTTCTGTCTTTGCAGGGCTGGGGCTGAACCTGCGTAGTGCTGTCAGCGTGCTGGGCAAGCGCTGCAGCCCTGCAGCAGTGGTTTTCAAGAACTCTAGTCACCAGCATACAAATTTGATTCTGACCTCTTCTGAAAAGTTGCTCAGAAAACCTGACACCAACAGGCAACATGCTGGGAGCCTTGGTGGGGCATCCCGCAGCATGGCCCCGCCCCCTGCCTGGCCCTGCCACACTCCAGGTGTGCACTGACCATGGCTGGGCCTCCTGGAAGGAGCTCCCTGTCCCTAGGCCCTGCCACTCTCCTTGGCTAGCTGTGATGTCGGTGTCTCAGCCGCTGTGTGTCAGGCTCCAAGTATATGGAGGTAGAGGAGATAAGGGTCTGAGCCAGGCCCTGGTGGCCTGGAGTCTTGCTTTAGGCCAGGGCAGAGGCTTTAGCCTGTGTGGTGGTCATGGGGTGCCTGGTTCATATCCCTTCAGAAGAGAATTGTGACTCCATGGCTATCCTTTTTGCCATTGACACCGAAGGGGGCGAAATGTTCTTGTGCCTCAGACTGATTTATGTGTTCTTAATGCTCATATCAGACTTGTCTGAAACCAAATGTATAAATCAGATAATGCTTTAGAAGAAGCATAGTACTTGTGATTTAAGGTGTTAGTCTACCTTAAATATATTTTCATAAGCAGAAAAACTTAGCCAAAAAACAAAGTAATATAAATGACAAGATGAAAGTTACTCCTAGAACTCTGTTAGCACTACAGTTTCTTTTCTGCTAGTTTTTTTTTTTTTTTTTTTTTTAAATACGTTCAGATAAACACAGCATGCATGCTCTTGCTAGCATGGCGTCCCCAAAGCCGATCCCCCCAGCCAAGTCTGTGTGGCGCCTGACATTGATGGCCTGGGCTTCTGGGTACTTCCTGGGTGTCAGTGCCCTCCTGTTGGCAGTCAGGGCTCTGTCTCCAGTGAAAGAAGTCTTAACTTAGAGCCAGGAGAATATCCTCTGGATGCCTGAGTGGAGCTCAGCACCTTTTGGAAACAGATCTGTAATCCCCATAATCCTCAGCTTCTTTCTTTCCCCACAGCGGTCCCTGGGAACTCCCAGTAGCTACCTAGCTAGCTTGCACCCTTCCCTCCCTTATCCACCCCCCCATCTTTTCCTCCCCATCTTGTCCCTCCCTTTTCCTGCTGGTCCCTTCCTCTTTCTCTCTCCTCTCCTCCCCTCCTTCCCCTCCCTTCCCAAGACAGGATCTCATTATGTAGCCCAGGCTGACCTTGAACTTGTGGTGATCCTCCTGCTTTAGCCTCCCAAGTACTGGGATTACAAGTGTGTACCACCAAACCCAGCCTCAGTGGCTTTATTTTTGCTTTCCCTCTGCTTCCCCTGGAAGCCCCTGTAGTCTCACTGAGTGACTAAAGTTTTTTGAGCCTGCCCACCCAGCAGAGTGCTGGCACTGCCATGCTAAGAGGTGGTGCCTGTGGCCATAGGTCCTCAGACTGTCACAACTGTCCATCAAGCTCAGCCTTTCAGCCTTCCCTTACCAAGTTTCCCAGTTCAGCTAAAAAGCAGTAGAGTAGGCTGTTGTTCATCTGTTCACATACTTATTTACCCGTGCTGCTGTCTGTGTGGGGCCCTTTCTGCATCATGCCTGCTTGTCTTGTGGTTGCTGACTTGTGATGACACAGCCAGAGGCGGATAACAAAACCTAGATGAGCCATAGGCTTGGGTGAGCAGCTCGCCAGACCCTGCTGGCCAGAGGCTGGAGCCTGGGCATGGCATCCTGGGCTGTGCAGTCAGGCCCTGTGGGGACGACTGTGTGAGGGCGGGAGCACCCTGCCATGGCTCGCTTCTGGGGGCCACGCATACACCAGACCGACTACCTCCGACTGCCTCTGCTCCAGCCTGTGTTTGCAACCAGGTCTGGCCAGACTGGGGTGAGCTTCAGGCAGCTTCCCAGAGTGACAGGGGCTATGAAGGGTTGACAGCCACAGGATCTGACCAGGTGTGACCTCAGGGGCCCTGCATGCTCCTGGTGCTGGCCCACAGGAGGGAGCCCTGCAGTCCCAGGCAGCCTCACGATCTTGTGCACTCTTGCCTTGTTCCTTGCTTTGTGGCTTTTCTCTCAGTAGACCGCTACTGGCCAGGTGGTTGTGACAGCCCCTGCTCTCTGTGGCTGTGTGCCCTGGGAACCGTGCAGGAGAGTGTGGCATCTGTGGGGTGCAGGGGCCAGATTGTGCCTCTTCCTCATAGTTTTTTTTAAAAATAGGGCCCAGAGGTGAACTGGAAGACCAGCGTCCTGGAATGAGGCCATTCTGGAGCAGAATTTGATTTGTTTAATTTTTTTTTTTTATAATTTGGTTTCTCAGAGCCTCAGCTCTCAGGTTTCTCAGTAGCAGGACTGGCTGCCACTTCTGGGGCACCATGGAACTATAGGCTGTGGATGAGAACTGAGAGGCCCGAGGCTGAGCCGTGGAGCATGGCCTTTGCCCTCACCTCGGCTGCCCTCTGTTGGGCAGGGTGGGGGCCCCCAGCTGTGGCCTGGCTTGATTGAGTCAGCCTTAGAGCTGACTGTGAGCTCCATCGACGGATCCCCTTCTCTCACAGCTGTCAGCTGGTGGCTTGGGATGTACAGCACATCCTGCAGGTTCCGAGGACATGCGGTGAAGTCAGAACCGCGGTGCAGGAGCAGCTGCTAAGCTGGGCACACTTTCTGGGCTTCTTCCTGGCCAGAGTCTTCGCTAGGTCCAGTGGCCAGGGCACCGCCTGAGCTCCTCACTTGGCTGTGGGCATTTCCTTGCCCAGCCCCCAGTCCTGGGAACACGGATGTGTGTCCTCTCACAGCCCTGGAGGCCACCAGAGGTCTGAGACCATGCTGTCAGCCAGTCTGCACGGCCTGGGGTGCAGTTCGTTCTGCCCTTGTCTATATCTGGTGTGTGTCCTTGGTTCTCCTGGCTGGTGGATGTAGTGGTCCTCCTGCTGTGGCCTCCCCCTTCTTGTCAGGACACCAGCTGTGCTGCGTGAGGGTCTTCCCTGATACCCTAATTGAGGTTCTGCTGCCCTGTGCAGGCCCCTTCCTCAGCTAAGGCCCCATCCTTAGGGGATTGTGGGGTGGGCTCCAACATGTCTGTTTTGGGACTGTGACTTAGTAATAACAGAGAAACCAGCTGGCTCCCAAGGACAAGGAATAGTAAGCTGGTGGTATAGGCAGTCCTGGGGATTCATCTCCCACACGTTCAGGCAGTCTGAGGAAGAAGCGTGCGTGTCCTTTAGCCTCGTGAGTCAGGTGGTGAATTGTTCAGCAAATGCCCCCAGAGCCTCAGTTACACTTGCGGAAGTGAGAGCTGGTCACGCGGGATGGGAAACTCCTCCTCACCCGAGGAGGTGGTTGGCAGCCGTGGCTTCCTCTTGACGGCAGTGTTGGCCAGAAGTCAGGACTGTCCTGCTGTTTGTCACTGGCTTGCTGGGGAGCTGCCATTTTGTACAATGAGAAGTCCCATCTCAGGCTTTGTGGATTTCTTTTTTTTTATTTATTTAAATTTTTCTTTCTTTCTGGGGGCTGGGACCGTGCATTTGCCAGGCAGGCACTGTACCCCTGAGCTATATCGCTGGCCCCAATTTAAATTTTTCAGTTAAACTTATCTTCAAAAGTTGTGCTTTCCACCAAGCTGCAGTGGTATCTTCATCACTTTTTCATTGCTGGGATAAATACTGTGCCAGACACCCACAACTCAAAGGAGGAGAGCTTTGTTTTGGCTCACGTTGGTATCGTTTTTGGCTGACTCCCAAGACAGAAGTGGCTGACAGAGGGGCATGGTGGACAAAGGATGCTCGCATCATGGCCCCGCATCAGGAAGCAGAGAGGCCTCTGAGCCGGGGAGGGAATGCACCCTTCCAGGTCAGGGCGGATCCTCCGCCCTCCTCCTCACAGCAAGCCCTGTGGTTTGACTTCTCTTCCAAAGGTCCATTTAGCATAACAAGTGTTGTGTAAGAAGAAAATTAAGCATCTTTCACACAAACACCTGGCAGGTGCCTATTTTTCCTGTGCTACACCTGGCTGTCAGGGTTGTGGACAGCAGTGTTGTTTGCTGGTGTTGGCAGTAACTGGACTGCGTGGCCCACAGGCGGTCACTGCTCCATCTTGTTCTTCTCATCTACTCCTGGGCCTTGGTGGCCCTTTGGGTCTAACCCCATGATTTTCTAGCAGGGCACCAGCTGACCTGGCCATTGTCCCACTGTCCAGTGACCTGCTCTCTGTAGGGACCCCTGTGCTCACTTCACTCCCTGTGACGAGTCCTCTGGGTTCCTCTGTCCAGCTGCCCCATCTTGTGTTTGGTGGTCCTTTCTGTGTTAAGGGACCATGCTAGACACTTCCAAGTTCCTTTAGTTTCTTTGCTCTTAAATTCAGTTTGTCCTTGAGTCATGTGGCTCCAGCCACCTAACATCTTCAGTGTCATCCCCTTCCTCGTGGTCCCTGCCACGCTGAGGCTGCAGGCTTTGGCCATGGCTTAGCTGAGCTCCTCTGCAGGAGGGATAGGCGCACCCTCCCTACCCCTTCCTGAGGCCTTTCCTTCCCTCCTGCACGGCTCACGTTGTAGTTCGAGGCCCTGTTCAGACCTTGCCCTGACAGCACTGTCTGTGGAGCCATCTGTTCCAGTGCATGCTCAGCCCCACCCCAGCCTACGACCCTGTGGGAGCTTCTCCTTGCTGTGTGTTGGGTCTGTGCACGTGTGTGTGTGTGTGTGTGTGTGTGTGATTGCAAGTGTCGGAGGTGGGGGCTGTGCACGTGTCGACAGGTGTGTGTGGGCATGCCTTATGTGCATTTGTGGGCAGTTGCTTGTGAGTGTGCACGTATGTGTGTGTGCCCTCTTGTATACCCACTAACCCTGACTCCCATCTCTGTGCTCTGCAGTGAGGGTTCCCTTCTTCATTGACTTGAAAAAGCCGCAGGAGCAAGGTTTGAATCACACCTGCAATTACTACCTCCAGCCCGAGGAAGATGTGACGATTGGAGTCTGGTGAGTATCCTGTGCAGCGGCGGCAGCGCTGGCGGCATTGGTGCCCTTCACAGCGGGCTCTGCGGTGTCGCCTCCATCTTCTCTTCACTCAGACCAGTGCAGGGACGATCTCGGCTCAGTCTGACCCTCATGGTGCCAGGTGAAAATGGCACCGGGCTTTGTTCTGAGTTTTTCCAAATAGCAGAGGCTTTGTGACCAGAGTATTTTTAGTGTGTTCTTTCCAAAGGAAACCGAAGGAGTGGGGAGCAAGCTAGAAACAAAGAGCACACCCACACAGAGTGGCAGGGCTGCTGTGAATGCCCTGTTGTGGAAGTGAATGTCTCCCTATTACAAACAGTAGCGGTTTCTTTTCACATGCAAAACTTCCCAGCAGGAGCGGTGCTATCTGCTGTCTTCTAAGTATTTACTGTTTTTGCTTTAAATTTAAATTGGATGTAGGCCTGATGTGGTGTGGTGCATGCCTGTATTCGCAGCACTTGTGAGAGGAGGCAAGAGAATTGCCTCAAGTTCAGGGCCAGCAGGGCCTACACAGTGAGCTCAAGGCCAGCCTGAACCATGTATAATGAGACACTGTCTCAAAAAAAAAAAAAAAAAAAAAAAAAAGGTTCACATTGGATTTAAGCCCTGTGACTTCTCTGCGTTTCCTTGAGAATATGTTATTTTTTCCTCTAGATTATAATTGGTGTTACTGAACAACTGCATGAAGAGTGATGAAGCACTTCACTGGCATTTTCTTTTTTTTCGTTAGAAGCAGATGTGAGTCACTGTGCCTTCATCTAGCTAGGTTTATTTTTGCATAGCCATAAAGTCTCTTTCTGCTCTCAGAAAACTGCTGCGTATGTGAGAAGCCTGTAAATGGAATATGCCATGAGTAGGTCCCCAGCGTGGGTGAGAGGACAGAGAATGAGGGAGGACCGTGCTGCTGGGGCCTGAGTCTGGCCCAGTCTGTCGTGCTCTGTGTGATCTGAGCAGCTCTCAGAGCCTCTCCAGGAGCCCGCCTGCAGTGCCTCAGCTGTTGGGGCCCTGCTGAGCACAGGTCTCCTGCAGTGGGACAGGGTTGGGGGCCTGGTCACCAGCTGCAATCCCCGCTACTGCCTGCCCAGAGAAGTCTGAGTGACAACAGTGGCATGTCCCAAGGCAGTGCCAGCCGCTAGGTGAGCTGCTGGGTGCCAGAGCTGTGTGCCCCTGGGCCACTGTGGTGACCACAGGGCACAGCCCATGAGGCCATCTTGGAGCTGGACAGACTGGTCTCTGGAAGCTGGCTGGTACTAGTGTTATGGGTCACTCAGGATAGGAACCAGATCAGCCAGGCTGGAATTTGGAAAGCTGTTTATTACTGAGCTCAGGTCCCCCGTCTGTCTCGCACAGGAGAGGACCCAAAGGCCTCTCCTGTTAACAAAGTTAGCTTACAGAGATAACTTCAAAAGGGGCCGGAGAGATGGCTCAATGGAATAAGCGCTTACCTGGTAAGTGCAAGGGCCTGAGTTCAATCCCTGGTTCCACTAAAAAAAAAAAAAAAAAAAAAAAAAAATCCCAGAGATGCGCCCAGGAAGTAGAGAGGGGTTTTAAAACCTGGAACCACATTGAGTTTGATAAACAAATTTATTGTCTGACACAAAATAATGCTTTTAGAGTGATTGGGGCCACTATTTAAACTACATTTCCTGGGGCTTTTGTTTTAGTCTTTGGTTAATTTGCACCTGAGTTCCTACAGGCAGCCTTGCATAGCACGGAGGTTACAAGAAGTTAAAGCCCATTTAATTTTCTTTTGAAGTCATCTCTGGGATTTTTTTTTCTTTCTTTTTTTAGTGGAACCAGGGATTGAATTTAGGCCCTTGCACTTACCAGGGAAGCACTTATTCCATTGAGCCATCTCTCTGGCCCCTTTTGAAGTCATCTCTGTAAGCTAACTTTGTTAACAGGAATTGGTGAAGGTTATAGGAATTTTATCTTAGCAAAGAGCAAGAAACAGCCACTAGTTACTAAACAACTTAGAACAGTGGTGAGTATACATTTACAACAGAAAGCACAAGATTTACATTTATAATCTAAAACGTGAGTTGACCCATTACACTAGCACCTTTAAAGTGTGCGAGTGTATGACTGTAGTGGCCAGAGCTAGCCCAAAATGTGATTCTCTTGAGTCTATCAGTGGTGAGACGCTGTTGACTGTGGTCATACATGCCTGTAACTCCAGCATGAGGTGGGAGAACTGCAAATCCTAGTCCTGCCCTGGCTGTGTAGGTAAGATACTGTTTTACAATTTTAAAAATATTTTTTAGGGGGCACCAGGGAGATGGCTTAGTGGGGCCTGAGTTAAATCCCCAGTTCTGCCCCCCCTACCCCCCCCAATTTTTTTTTTTTTTTTTTTTTTTAGGGGCTGGGGAGATAGCTCAGTGGAATCAGCACTTGCCTGGCAAGCACAAGGTCCTGAGTTTGATCCCTGGTGCCACTAAAAATAAGAAAATAATTTTTTTAGCCAGATGTGATGTGCACAGCTGTAATCCCAGTACTCAGACTGAGGCAGGAGGATTGCCATGAGTTCAAGACCAGCCTGAACTAAATAGCAGTAGCAAGACCCTGCCTCAAAAAAAGGCAAAAAAAATTTTTTTTTTAATTTAAAAGTGCTGGAGACGCTTGCAGCTCAGCAGCAGAGTGCCCTCGGGTTCAGTCCCCACTATGAAGAAACATAAGGGATGGAATGTCATGCTGACGTTTATGCTCTAAAGACAAGAAATTGACTATTGAACTCTATGAGATTCTTGTTACTGATATGTAGAATGAATTTGAAAGTTTTATAGAGAAGCTTTATTCAGATCCTCCCCAGTTTGTTGTGCATTAGAATTATTGTCACTCTGAGGAAAAGTTTGGCCAGGGAGGTCAGCTGTCTGTAGGAGCCATCTTGGTTGATGGCGAGTCCCTATTATCTGTGTAGCTGTAAGCTCAGCAGGGCTCTGATCTGTTGAGCTTCTGTTGTTGTTTTGATACTTATTTATTTATTTACATATACCGGTGATTGGACTTAAGACTTTGTGCTTGCCAGGCAGGCGCATATGCTGCTGAGCTATCTCCCCAGCCGTTTTTTTGTCTTTTTGAGACAGGATCTCACTGTGCAGTTCAGACTGGCTTTGAGCTCACTTTGTAGCCCAGGCTGGTCTCGAACTCTCAACAATCCTCCTGCCTCAGCCTTCCAAGTGCTGGGATTACAAATGTGCGCCACCACACCAGCCATAGCTTCTAGTTAATAAAGGAGAGTGGTGTTACCCTCCTACCCTGGTAACTGCTTCAGGACCCACTTTTGTGGCCCAGAAGAAGCCCATGTACCTGAGGAAATGCTCCTGAGGTTGTCAGCAGCAGGCCTGCAGCTTGCGGTTCTAACTCTGGAGCGCATTCACCCTCCAGTAGGTAGGGGGCTCCTGGCAACCTGTGGTGTGAGGGGAGCTCCCTGCATGCCCTTCTTATGGCCACCACCACCTCTGCTGCCTCTTCCAGGCACACCATCCCTGCTGCCTGGTGGAAGAACGCCCAAGGGAAGGACCAGATGTGGTACGAGGATGCCTTGGCTTCTAGCCACCCCATCATTCTCTACCTTCACGGGAATGCAGGTACCAGGTGAGGCAGAGGAGCCCGCGTAGGGTGCATCCTCCTTGCAGGTCACAGCTCCTTTGTGGGGCCCAGCCAGGACTCAACCTATAATCCTACAAGACGGGGCCCACAGACCTTCCACAGGGAGGCAGAGCATTCTGAGAGCAGAGGTGTGGCAGAGTTGCATTGGGATTGGAGAGGTAGAGTTCAGGCAAAGTTCACGACAGGGCAGTGCCCATGGGGCAGCAGTTTGGCCTGCAGAGTGGACTTGGGGACCACGGCTGGAGCAGCCTATCTGCAGCTGCATGGGGTGGGGTGTAGGAAACTGTCCGTCAGAGGAACCCAGCCCCCTGTCCAGGGAGGGTGTCCCCAGGGCAGAATGCAGGCCTGCACAGTCCTCTTGGCTGCTGCCCATGCACAGGCACTCTGCTGGCTACCCAGCCACCGGCAGCATCTATGTGTCCTAAGGGGCCGCTGCTGAGTGGGTTTAACTGCTCACCCTTCAGGCCAGCTTGAGCTGGGTGTGCTCGCCCCAACCAGTATGGCGGTGCTCCTTCCACGTCTCTGCTGCTCTCCCACTTCTGTGGAGTCCAGAGGGGAGGAGGGACGTGTCCTTTCCTAGCACAGCGTTGTTCAAAATCGCCAAGGTCACCACTTCCGCAGCTTCCTTGGGTCACCTGTGAGAGCCAGCAGCAGGGAGGCGGGGTGCCCGCAGTGGTGCAGTGAGGGTGGCTGGAGTGTGGGCATGTTGCAGGCAGCAGCAGAGAGAAAGCAGTGTGTGGGCCTTTCGGGTGGGAAGCAGGTCTTGGGGTGTCTGCGCCTGGGAGCATGGCCCACAGCTGTCTGTGTGCTGAGGAGTGTGCGGCCCGGGTCATGCGTGTACCGCTCTGTCTGCTCTCCTCTTTGTGGGGACAGAGCTGCAGTGGGTTTTACTTCTGCTTTTCAGAGAGCAAGTGTACAAACAGAAACAGCTCTGCGAGCATCTTTCTATAAATAGGAAACTGTAGCTGGCATGAATAAGGCTTAGTTCTGCATTGTCAATCATGGGACTGAAAAAGACAAAGCCTGCTTATAATTTTAGGTCTGAAAGGCGCGTGGTGGCGGCGAGGCTTGCCCTGCCACTCCCTGCATTGCAGGTCTTGCCTGTGTTCTCTCTCGTTTCCCACCTCCCAAAGGCCTGCCCCACTCCCTGAGCCTCGTCTTCAGCCAGACCCAGTTGGTGCCCCTGGCAGCTGTGGGCCCGCTGATCTGCAGGACCTCCGCATTCGGTCTCCCCAAGCTCCAGACCCATTTACTCCTCAGACCATCCTTTTCCTTTATCCTCATTGCCGAGAAAGGAAAAGTTGGAAAGCCACTACCATAAACCCTTCCAGAGGTACCCAGAAAGGCTTTGCAGTACTTTCTCCAGGTCTTGAGTAGTTCTTTATCCTTGTGTCCTTGTGCCTTGTTGGTTTTCCTCCCTTGTCTCGGTGCTGTCTCCCATTGCAGCGATGCTGCTGCCCATACCCACGTACCTGCAGAGGCCCACAAGTGACACTGTTAGGACAGAGGGCTGAATGGGAGAGAGGGAAGAGGGGCTCCCCCAAGCTGCCCTCCCCACACACCCTTCCACCCAGAGACCTGCCCATGTGGTCGCCACCCAGGGCACAGGGGGTCATGAGACAGGAGTATGAGCTTGTGGAGCATTTAGGCAAGCACAGAGCACGCAGGCGATGTCTGTTGCAGCCTGTCTGCTGAGGAGTGTGTGGGGTTGGCCATTCCCACACAGTGTGGCAAGAGACTTGGGTCTCCGCAAGCTAGATGCGGCAGCTCCGTGGGGCCACGGCTGTAGTGCCTCTGGACCCAGGCGCAGGCTCCATGTACAGAGTGCACACGCAAGAAGGGACATCAGCTCAGGGAGGCGGCAGGAGGCTGTGGGGAGCAGAGACGGCCGCATGATGCTAAGTGGAGCACCATGCCCATGGGTCCTAGGAAGAGGCGGGGCTGCCTCTGGGGCCTGCTGGGCCCACTTGCATCAGCGCAGGTGATCCCTACACACGGGGAGCCTGCTGGGCTTACTTTTTATGTCTTGCATTTGGGGCTGTAGGTACTTACTGCCTGCTGAAATGTACATACGGTAATGCAGAAATCTTCCCCAAGTGCTTCCCTGGCTAGGGGCAGGCTGGGGCCATGAAGAGGACCTGAGACAGTCACTTGTCCACCTGGGTCCCTCGCCGGAGTGGGTTTGGAATCCCAGCCTCTGTAGGGACCACTAAAGAGGGGTACTAACGCCTGCTCTGCTTCCTTCCTTGCCAGAGGTGGTGACCACCGAGTGGAGCTCTATAAGGTAAGTGCCACAGTCGGTGGTGCGTGGGCCCTGGGAGGCGAGAGCAGAGGAGAGTCACTAGGGGGCTGTGCTATGAGCAGGGCCTGGCTAGTCTGCCTTGAGGGGTGGCCTCCAGGTCGGAGTGCACACTTAGCAGACTGTCTGTCTCCAAGACACTGCAAAGGGTGTGGACAGCATTCGCTCTTCTCTTCGTATGTGAAAGGAGAATCCCGTGTGCTCTGGCTGCTGCCCTTGCTGCCCAGGGGCAGGCTCACCTCAGGAGCAGTGGTGGCTTGGCTGAGGTTCTAGGTAGACTCTGGAGGAGTCTGCAGGTCAGCCCTGGTACAGGAGACTCATCCTTGTGCCTGGTTTTGTTCCTGACTGGGGTATTGGGCCTTGCAGATTTTGGTGCAGCACCCAGGGCTGCCCCAGCTTGCTTCCCTGTCCCCTCCCAGGGCCCCTGCATCTGCTGGGTGGGAAAAGAGGGGATGTGCAGATGAAGGGCCCGTCTCTCCCTGACTTGGAGGGTCCCCCTCAGTAAGTCGTATCAAGTCAGGAAAGTTGAGTGCCAGAGAAGCACGTAGTTCCCTTGAGACTGTGTCATAGAAGTGACCTGCTGGGCCCTGGGCTAGGCCTGGAGCAGGTCTGGGTGCAGGTTCTGCAAGGGTGCCAGGTGCCCAGACATGTGCTGTCAGCTCCCTGCCATGGCTGTACGCTGGTGGTCTGCAGCCTCCCTCAATGCTTGGGGCATTCCTGGGCCTGAGCACAGGGCACAGGTATTTAAAAGTACTGATGAGAAACACTGTTCATCAAAAACAAAACACCTGATGGCTGCTGGACTGCTACAAGGAGGAGCCCTGTGGAATCCATCCCCACCCAGGTCTGCGGTAGTACTTGGTGGTTCAGCCTGCTGGCCGCTCTGCAGGCTGTCTGCTCTCAGGATGTCCGGGCACTTGCAGTGGGAGTGCAGTGCTGTCCAGGGACAGAGGAGCTGCACTGGGTCCCTCAGCTGTCCAAGCAGCAGCAGGTGCAGTCTGCAGCTGGCCTGCGAGTCAGTCTCTGTCAAGTCCCCACTGTGTGCAGAACTCTGGATGGATGTCCCTGGAGGCTCCAGTCTGAGATGCGTGGGTGTGTTGCCAGACATGTGTTTTTCCCTTCACAGGTGCTGAGTTCCCTTGGTTACCATGTGGTCACCTTTGACTACAGAGGTGAGATTTCTTCCCCATCCTGCCTGATGGACAGGCTCAAATCGAGGGCCTGGAAGAAGCCTGCAGTCTGCTTTTGTTCTGCTGTGACCTGTCACAGTGGCCATTGTGTTGGGCTGGAGCAGGGCTTGGGCAGTTGGACAAAGCCCCTGAGTGGTAGGGAGGCCAAGGAGCTGCCTGTCCCCCCCAAGTCTCCATTTGCATGTAAATGCTGTCTATTTTTCTTAGCACTGGACTCAGACCCCCCAACACCTTGTCGCAGGCACATGCTATGCCCAGCAGCAGAGCTAGTCTGCTTACTGTGCTGAAAACAGGGAAAGCGCCACCTAGAGGGAAGATGCCTCCTCTTTCCCACCCACAGTTCTTCCTTTATTCAGTGGACTGGCTGTGGCTGCTAGATAGGCAAAAGCCTGCAGTTCAGTGGCTGCTGCAAACATTGCAGCCGGTGAGCAGCAGGAATGCGCGTAGCAACAGTTAGAGCAATAGTGAGCCTTGTCTTCTTTGTTTCATGTGGTTTGGTCTGGTTTTGGTTTTGGTTTTTTGAGGCCTAGTAGTTCAGGCTGGCCTTGAACTCATGGCAGTCCTCCTGTCTCAGGCGCCTGAGTGCTGGGGTTACAGGTGTACACCACCATGCCTGGCATGGCATGTCTTAAAGGAATATTCTTCCATAGCCCTCAGCCAGGGTGTTCAGCATGGAAGCCTGCTTGCCTGGCCAGCTTGCTTGGGTGGACAATCCAGGACATACAGAGGGCTGGAGGAGAGAGGCTGCTGGCTATATGTGGGGTTGTATTAGTTTCCTTTTGTTTCTGTAACAGATGACCAGAAACATGGTACCTTAACCTTAACACAGATTTATTATCTTGAAGTTCTTGGGATCAGAAAGCCAAAATCTGGCTGCTGAGCTAGAAGGAAGGTGTGAGACAGGATTTGATCCCTCAGCGTCTGGGGAGCATGTTGCCGTGGCCCATCCAGCTTGGGAGGCTTCCTTGTCTGCGAGGCCCTTGTACTCCTGGACCTGGCTTTAGCATGTTCCATCTTGGGCCACATTGCTATGGCCCTTTTGGTTCAGTGCTGGAGTCTAAAACTCCGGCTTTGCAGGTGCTAGGCAAGCACTCTAGTCCTGGATTAGGTTCCCAGCCCTGTTTTTAATTTGAAAGAAAGGTTTGTTGTATTGCTTAGGCTGACCTGCAATGTGTAGTCCTGCTTCAGCCTCCTGAGCAAATGTGTGGAGCACCACACCCAGCCCAGAAATAAACCTTCTCCTCTCCTTTCCTTATGGAGAGCCTTTGTGGTTCCTCGGGGCCCACTCCGAAGATCTTGGTCATGCCTGCCTCCAGTTTCGCCCTTTTGCAGCCCTTGGCCGTCTGCCACCTTAATTCTGCCCAAGTCTGGCATGCTCGCCAGTTCTGGGGTTAGAAGGTGGGGTCCATGGGCCACTGACCTGGCTGTCACAGGGATGGCTGTTTTGTTGGTAAAAGTTCTGTCAGGATGAAAGTTGTGGTCCAGAGAACACTAAAATGAGGTGCTGGAAAGTGACTCCTTCTCTCGTCACTGGACAGGATCCCAGGAAGCTACTGAAGCTGAGATGAGGAATCTAGCCCACCTGACCCACAGGATTGCTGAGTAGTTTTGCAGATTTGCCGACTGCTGTCACAGAAAAAGGATTTTCAGGACTGGTCAGAAAGAGGCGCGCCAGGGCTTTATTAGGTAGAAATTCAAAAGTATGCCCTCAGACAGAGTGCAGACCCTTGAGAGAGAGGTGCCTCATTCCCGAAACTGGAATGTTCATGCTTTTCTGGGGTGGACATCCCAGACGAAAGTGTCCACCCCCCAGAAGTACTGGCCCTACTACAGGTAAGGGCCTGCTCATATATATATATATATTTTTTTAAAGGTGGATAATTGAAACATACTTTGGATTCTCTCAGCCTGTTCCTTTATCTTAGAATCACGTTCCCGTTCTTTACATTCACAGTTAGGCCAATTTTTGGCCAGTCAGCGCTTCTGAGACATTTGGGGTGTGATGGATCGGGAAGGGAAGGAGCCTGAAAGAGGCAAGGGAACACTGGCGTGGAACCTTGGGGGACTGGGCTGGGCCCTGGAAGTTTGCAGTCTTAAAATTACAACTCATTTTGGTTTTGCTTTCGTCTCCTAGCTTTACTTCTCCAACCCTGCCTCCCCGTTTACTCTTGTGCTGTGGGTGTGGCCACATGGTAGTGTGGTGAAGAGGAGCCTTCTCTGTTTACTGCCTTCATGTGTGCCCCACAGGAATCCTTACAGCATTTTTTCTTTCCCTTTCTCATTAAGTTTTTTTCTAAGTGACCTGAGGAGCCCAGATCCACCCTTCTGTGTGTCCTTGCCTTTTTGTCCTTCTCTTCCTGTCCCAGCCTGGCTTCCCTTTCCTGTCTTTCTGTGAATTTTTCCGTCTCCACTTTCTGTGCCCTTGTCCACCTCAGGAGTCCTGAGCCTCCGCATTTCCTGTCCTTCCTGCTCCTCCTCTTCCTCTTCCTCTGGGGTCTCTAGGCAGGGAGCAGCCTGTCCTGTCCTGTGCACTCCCTGTGGTTTGCTTGTGCAGCAGAGCCAGCTCGAACTTTGTAGCGCTCAGCTCATTGGATGACGCCTCACTGCTGAGCTGCTAGAAGGACAGTGACTTGTGCCCTCTGCTGAGACTGCAGTGGCTTGGGCCAGTCAGCGCTGCCTCGAGCATGGAGATGGGCTTTGCTGTGAGCCCCAGGCAGGCTGCACTCCCACTGGTTGCAGTTAGCTCCTTCCTGGCCATCTCTCCCAGGCCTCAGGGTTGGAGGTGTGTCTGGGGTTTAGAGATTCTTTCTTTCCCTCTGTTCTGTTAAGTCACTAGTCAGGTGTGCAGCCCACTCCCTGGAGTACCCAGGAGGGCTGGTTTGTCCAATTTGTAGGGGGAGGGAAGGGTTGCCCCAGACTTTTCCTACCTTCTGCAGTGATCTAGGGGCAGTGGCTGCCAGACTGCAGTCTTGGGCCTGGTCTTCTGAACTGCCTTGTACTTCCTTCCTGCAGGTTGGGGCGACTCCATAGGAACGCCGTCAGAGCGGGGCATGACCTACGATGCACTCCATGTTTTTGACTGGATCAAAGCAAGGAGTGGCGATAACCCCGTGTATATCTGGGGCCATTCCCTGGGCACTGGGTAAGAGACCCTGTCTGGATATGCCCTCGAGTAGGGCTCCTGGGTGATGCCCCTACTTCTGAGGGTACCTGCAGCCTTTAACCCTGGAGTGGGTACCAGTGCAGCAGTAGATACGGGATACCACAGAGGCCCTTGGGCAGGCTGCCAGTGAGTTCTTGTGCAGGTGAGGTGGGGCTGAGCATCCAGGGATGGGGACTGCCCTGTGCAAAGGGGAACGTGCCCTTGGGGTTTGTGTAGACCTGACCTTGGAGCACCAGAGCAGGCCATCAGCCCAAGGTACAGAGCAGGGACACGGGGACATTTTCAGGAAATTTTGCCCTTTCTGTCCATTAGCAATATGGTAGAAGAGGGGTGTGTGTGTGTTTGTGTGTGGTTGGGTCCACTTCCCTTCTCTGCCATGGAATGAATTGTCTTAATGTTCCAGGAAGAGACAGCCTGGAGAGTTCTACTGATGGTACACCCAGGGTTTGCTAAAACCCTCTCAACTCGAGGGCTACTGTTTCCTATCACTTTTTCCTGTGGGCAGCAGTGTCACTTTTCTTAGCTCCTGCTCCTTGCTTGGACAGCATCCTGCAATCTGGGAGTATCTAGCCAGGACCCTGCTCTGGTGGGGAGATAGACAGTGGGCTTAGGAGAGGCCCTGTGGAGGGACACCGCATGACTGTGATGGCGGGCACAGGACCTGCCAGGTGCAGCTTTGGATAGATGGCATGAGTGAGGCCTCTGTGCCTGGTGGGAGCCAAGTGCTGCTGCCCCATCCTGGCATCCTCTGGGCAGACCCCCACCACTAATCAGTGGTTCTGGAGCCCCTTGCTGGGATTATGTAGGATAATTCTGGTCAAGATTCAACAGAACTGTATTTTGTTTTTTGTTTCATTGTTATAACCACATTATATATATATATTTTTTTTCCAGAGTGGCGACCAATCTGGTGCGGCGGCTGTGTGAGCGAGGTAAGGAGGCGGTGGCCACTGTCCAGGCCCCGTTACAGATGTCCTGTGGGTGCTGGGGGAGCGTCAGTGTCAGGGTGAGCTGGGATGCCGGGTATCTCTCGGGTCCTGCTAGAGCCCTGGCCCCAGTCTGTCCTGAGCATCTTTTCTGTCTCCCTGGCCACTTTCTGTTTTTGTTTTGTTTTGTTTTTAATCTAGAGACACCTCCAGATGCCCTTATATTGGAATCTCCATTCACTAATATTCGAGAAGAAGCAAAGAGCCATCCATTTTCAGTGGCAAGTATAGGTTTTTTTGAAAACTTAATTTGTTTTCATTATTAAGATAATATGAAATTAAGTGCAAGGAGACATTTTCATAGTTATATAAGAGGTATAATTTTAGTATTCTAATGAATACAGATTCTGTTTAAACCAATCCTGGTTCTAGACACTGTCTCACCTACTGAGCTCATGAGAGGCTGTAACTTTATTCCCAAGTAGCAGGGAGCTGCCCCACGGCCCCAGGAGGGCTAGTGGTGCTCTCTTTCCGTGGCCCTCTCCCTCAGCAGAGCCAGGGGTGCCTAAGACTATGCGGGCCCAAGAGCCCTCAGGAGCCAGGCTCCTGCCCTGATGGTCTGCCCTCCCAGTCTCTCGCAGGTGAAGCTTAGGACATTGCCAGTGGGGTGCCAGGAGAGCTGGTCCCACCTTGCCCTTCTGAAGCCTGACTGTTACCTCCCCCTTGCTTGGGCCCCAGCCTGCTGTGTGTTCATACAGGCCAGGAGCCCTTTACTTTGTCTTCAGTTTTTGCCACTGCTTTCCTCTGAAACTGTGAGGAAACCAGCCCAGGTCCCCCACTTCCCTGGGGGTGGGGCTGTGGTGTCTGCGGAATGCTTTCCCAACTGGATTTGGGCTGCATGCAGCTCAGGTAGCCCCTGCCACTAAGCTGGGCTGTGACAAGCACAGCCTCAGCTGCCAGTCACCCTGCACTCTGGCAGGGTGCAGTGTGAGCAGACCTGCCTAGGAGCCTCATTAGCACCTCCCAAAACAGCTTGTCTCTTGTCTTCAGGTGTATCGGTACTTCCCTGGGTTTGACTGGTTCTTCCTTGACCCCATCACAAGCAGTGGAATTAAATTTGCAAATGATGAAAAGTAAGTGTCGCGGTTGAGCAGCCCTGAGCCCCAAGGAAGAGCCTTGTGCCACCAGAGCCAGACAGGGTAGGGTACAGGACAAACCTAGCTCAAAAAAGGGGAAGTCTGGCAAAGAACTGCAATGGAAAGAAAATGAAATTTGTTTTTTTTGTTGGTGGTGGTATCAGGGATCAAACCCAGGATCTTGTGCTTGCAAGCATTTATTCCACTGAGCTATCTCCCCGGCCCTAAGAAAGTGAAATTTTACAGTTATATTAAGATAACATTTTTTTTTTTTTTTTGTCCATATAAATGACTTTTTCCTAAATAGTCATCTAAGCCCTGGATAGGTGTTCTTTTTTTTTTTTTTTCTCAATAATTTTACTGAAGCCGGGGAGATGGCTTGGTGGAATAAGCCCTTCCCTGGCAAGCGCAAGGGCCTGAGTTCTATCCCCGGTTCCACCAAAAAAAAAAAAAAAATTTATTGAGAAACAAATAGCAATGAGACAGTTTCAAATCTGATTAGTAGGACAGTTTCAATAATTAATACATTGCATATTGTTGTCTTAGTGGTTATTCATTGTACAAGATGCAGACATGATATCCTGTTTACAAACACTGTTAGAACAAATCCTTCTATTCATTGAATTAAGAGAATGTAGCTGTATGTCTATCCTACTGGATAGGTATTGAAGAAGTAGTTACTTAAAAAACAACCACTGGGCTGGGGAGATAGCTCAGTGGTCCAAGCGCAAAGATCCAGGTTCAATCCCCAGGACCACATGCTGTGCTAGCCCCACCCTGGGTGTGCTAAGAGGGCTACCAAGACTGGTATGGTGGTGCACACCTGTAATCCCAGCACCGGGGGAGGCAGGATTGCTGCGAGTTCAGGGTCAGCCTGGGCTGCAAAGTGAGTTCACGGTGAGCCTGAACTGCAGAGTGAGACCTTGTCTCAAAAAGAAAAAACAAACAACTGGTAGATTAAGTGTGGTGGCCCATGTCTGTGATCCCAGCGTTCAAGAGCCTAAGGCAGAAACATCCCAAATTCAAAGTCAGGTCACCCTGGACTACACCGTGACTTTAAGGCCATTCTGAACTACATGGTGAGAAGAGATCTAAAGAAAAAAAAAAAAAAAAATAGGGCTGGGGAAATAGCTCAGCAGCATAAGTGGCTGCCTGGCAAGCGCAAGGTGTTGAGTTTGATCCCTGGTACCAGAAAAAAAGAAAAAAGAAAAAACAGCCCTGCTTCAGCCATTTGATATGTATTTGGTTACAAAAACATACTATAAAGTTTATTTAAAATATTGCTGTAGTAAACCTAATATTTTATGTAGTTAAGGACTGTTGAAATCATGCCAGGGGCTGGGGAGATGGCTCAGTAGAATAAACGCTTGCTTGGCAAGCGCAAGGGCCTGAGTTCAATCCCCGGTTCCACAAAAAAAAAAAAAAAAAAAAAAAAAAAAAAAAAATCATGCCAGATTTTACTGACATCTCTTTGTGATATTTTGTTTCATGAATTTTTAATTTCTCCAAAAAGAAGGAAAATCTTTATTCAATTAACATTTCAGTCTATACTTTGAAGTCATAAACAAAAATCCCTGTTTGTTTTTAGTATTATTGTTTGAGAACCTAAGAATTCTCTGAATAAATTGGATTCCTGCTTAGCAAAATGTGCCGGGGCCACATGGCTGCTGACCAGGCCCCAGCCAGGCACGCAGGGCCAGCAGCGGGCAGGCGGGCGGGATGGCCTCAGGCTGGCGGCCAGGGCGTCAGCAGCTGACCTAGGTTCTGAGAGAGGAGAGCTGTGCTGTTGCCTGGGCACCCAGGGGATAACAAGTGTGTAGGCAGGGAGTATCCCCGCCAGGCCCTGCACCCTTGGGAGCACACAGCCACACAGCCCTGCTTGGACCGAGATGGACTGAGGTGGCTACCTCAGAGCAGGGTACACGAAGCCCGGGCACAGCCAGGGCACAGCCAGAGCTCTGTGGGGCTCGGTGAAGGGCCTGGACCCTGGGAGCCTACTGAAGTGTTGATGCCTTCTAACCAAGTCACCTGAAGTGTCACACCAAAGATAAATTAGTACTGACTTTTTTCTTGTGTGTGTTTTGAAACAGGGTTTCATTATGTGGTTCTGGCTGGCCTTGAGCTCACATTGTAGCATGTTGCCGGGATTGCAGGTGTGCACCGCCACGCCCAGCCGAGTACTGACTTCTTTTAACCACCAGATACATAGTAACATTCATTTCCAGTATTTCCTTTGCCCACCTAAATTATTCAGTGTATAAACATTTTGTAACTTTTCTCCTGGTACAAGGGCCACCCACATATGAGAAGTATTCTGCCAGCCCGGCAAGCTGTAGCTCTAGCCTTTTTGATATTGATTGAATGTGGTACGGGGGATCAAACTCACGACCTTGGGCTTGCCACACAGGCACTTATGCCGCTGAGCTATCCCCCTGGCCTTATAATTTGATTTTGAGACAAGGTCTCACTAAGTTGCCTATGATGACCTCAAATTTGAGATCCTCTTGCCTGAGCCCCTCAGCAGCTGAGATTACGTCACTATGCCTGGTCTGTTTTATAACTTTAAAGACTATGTTTTTGCAAAAGTAATAATTTTCAGCAGAAAATATGCATGGGCTGTATTTTGGAGAATGAATTACTCTAGATTTGGTTGATTCCTTTACAAGTAGTAAAAAGAAGCCCAGCACGGGGAGCACACCAGGCACCCAGGCCTGTAGGTACCTGCCCTCGGCCTAGTTGCACCTCCCGCTTCCCTCCCACAGTGTGAAGCACATTTCCTGCCCCTTGCTTATCCTGCACGCAGAGGACGACCCAGTCGTGCCCTTCCAGCTCGGCAGAAAGGTGAGCAGCCTGGGCCAGTGTTAGCACAGCTAGGAGGGGCGCGGGTGGGCCAGGACACCCCTAGGAAGGGGCTTGGGCAGCCACACTGCCTTTGCCAGCCACAAGAGGAACCATGAAAAGAAGCACATCACTGGGTGAGGTGGCAAGGCCTATAATCCTATTGTCAGGCACTGAGGCAGGAGGAACACTGAGCTGGTGGCCAGCCTGGGCTGTGTACTTGGGGATTTCAAGGCCAGCCTGAACCCCAAGGAGACAGGTCCTAGGTCCCCACATCTGAGTCATCCTCAGGGTGGATGGAATTAGGCCGAAAGAAAAGAGTTGTATGGGCCTTTCAGCATGTGACTCTGTTGCAGGGAAGCAGGACCCAATTTGTAGGGAGGAGGGCTGGAGCGCTGCTGCAGGGTGTGCGCCTCTTCTGCCTGGGAGTCCCCCAGGGGTGCTCTGTGGGGGCACAGACAGCACAGTCCTAGAGGATGGGAGCCGCCCAGCAGGGGCCTGCTCAGCCACCGCAGCCATCCCTGTCCTAGGCCTTCCCTGGGGGAAGGGCATCTAGGAGGTGTGGGGATAGGCTTGCCAAGGAGCCACACATGGAGTCTGCCCCATCCCAAGCCCTGAGTGATGGGCTACCTCGCAGAAGCACTGCACACCAGAGCTGGGTCTGAGCCTTGCTTCGAACAACAGCCACCAGTTGGCCTCCAGGGAGGAGAGGCCAGAGCCATCCCTGCCTGGGGGTGCATCTGGGCTGACTAGTTTTTCCCTCTCTAGCTCTACAACATTGCTGCACCATCACGAAGCTTCCGCGACTTCAAAGTCCAGTTTGTCCCCTTTCACTCGGACCTCGGCTACAGGCACAAGTACATCTATAAGAGCCCCGAGCTGCCCCGCATACTGAGGTGAGACTCCAGCACCTCCCTTGCCAGGGAGGACTAGGCCAGGCTGCAGCATCACAGCTGGGGTGCTTCAGGGGCAGTGGGGAGGGTGTGGAGGACTGATCGCAGGCCTTTGAGCCCCACAGAGGGTAGAGCCCTGCACGCAGGCCGGGCAGGTGTGCTGCTATGTCCAGGGCAACAGGCCTCCACTGATGTCCCAGTGTGGAGGCTGCTGTCCTGCACTGAGAAGGTGACCCAACCCTTCTAAAGGCTGCCTGTCCCCTTTTCCAAGGGAGGCTGAGTTCCTGACTTACCAGCATCTTGGTGAGAGCGTGGGCTGCAGCCCAAAGAGCCAAAAAGAAGCCCAAGTGCAAGGGCGGCTAAGACCAGGAGAGCAAAGGCATTTGCAGCAGGACTCCCCACCCCCCAACCCCCACTCCTCTCGGTCCTCTCTGGGTGAGCCCAGTGAAGAAGCGAGTTGCCCTGCACCTCCTTCCTGCAGGGCCTGGACCTTCCGGTGCCCATCTTCACTGTTTGAGTTCCCAGGGCAGAGCTTGGTCCATGGTGCCGCCCCTGCACTGCCAAGGGTGTCAGAGCTCCGAGCCACTTCCTACCACTCACAGCCGTCTTCCTCCTCTGGCCTAGGGAGTTCCTGGGGAAGTCGGAATCTGAGCGCCAACACTGAACCACCGTGGCCCGCCCGAGGAGCATGAAGATGGGACCGCTGCCTCCCCGCCCCTCCGGCAGCAGAGGCGCTGGCACAGGGGACCCACGCCACTGAGAGGGACCGCAAGCGGGGGGCGAGCAGTGCTCGCTGTATTGCCGGTGTCAACGTGGAGACCCTGTCTTCCACCCCAAGTGCTGGACGCACCCTGCCGCTCGGCCCTCTGGCTACAGGCGCTTGCCTGCACGGCCCGGGGCCGCATCCCTGTCCTATCTGCCCATCTGCCCACCCTGGCGTAGACCGAGCAGTTATTTAAGAATAAAATTGTGGTGGTGGTCTGTCCTTCTCTGCTAAACGAGGGGTCAGACAAGCTGGCACCAGTGCCCTGCCCATTGTGCCTGTCCCACCAATGGCAGTCCATGGCGCACCCTGACCCATGTCAAGGCCCAGCCAGTGGACACCGTGGTCCTAGCGGGGCCCCGCCCATTGGGTGCTTTGCATCCTGTAGTGAGATAGGAGAACCCAAGGAAAGGTTAGGTGGCCCTTGCCTCCCAGCCAAGCAGATCAGCAGACCTGGGCAGGCAACCCCAGCTCCTAGGAAGGACGTGGCCTTGATACCACCTCCCTTGTTCCCTGGGCATACCACGTGCTGATCCTGGGTTGCAGACAAGCTAAGACCCCAGAAGAGCTAGGACAGGCCTTGAGCTGCCTCAGGTAAGGGTCTCTGGGATTGACTTCTCTAGGTCTAGTATCCCTTGCAGTTTTTGGGCCCAGTGGTGCACTGGTGGGGTCTCTTTCCACCCCAGAGTCCATTAGGAAGGCTTAAATGTGGTCTGTGCCACAGGCCCGGAGTCACTGGGATGTGGCTGGGCCCACCTCAGCTTGGCAGTCACGCAGGAGTGCAGAGCTGATGGGTGTCCCTGCACTCTCGATAGGGCCGCAAAGCAGGATACAAACACGATTTAGCCTCTGGATTTGAGCCAGGTACCCTACTAAGTGCAGCTGGACAGGATTTCAGATCTTTGACAGGTTCCAAAATCATCGTGGACAGGATGAGTTCTAAAAAGTGCTTGGGACCTAAGGGTAAGCACGGCCGTCAGCTTTGTGGCGCCCATGTCCTGGGGCCATATGGTCAGGGCTCACACCAGGGCAGCAGGACCTCCAGTTCCCTGACCAGGTGTGGGGGCCAAGAGCTATGAGCAGCCTGCTGGCCACTGGTTCAGAAAATCCACAGTACCCCTGCATCCTTCCTGATGCCACTGACCATAGGTGAAGGCAGCGAGACCACTGTGGGGTGAGGTGGGGTGGGCAGTAAAGGCCAACAGGGGTGGCAAGTCCCCAGAGACCAGTGCAGCAAATGAGAGCTCCCATGGGGCTAGGCTTTTTAATGAATAGGTGGCTCTGGGAACATTGGGACTCCCCCAGGAACCCAAAACACTGAAGTGAGAGAGAACCACATCAACTAGCCACAGATACAGAGGTTTAATCAGTTTCTCACACGAGACAGGAAGCACACGTGAAGGGGGGTGGTCATGTACAGCAGGTCAGGGAGTATGGCTGCCACACAGAGCCAGCACAGGCACCAGGTGACCCTGGGGAAGTCCTGCCCAACAGGTCCCGCAGGCCAGGGGAGGTGGGAAGAGCTCAGCTCCAACATTCCACCCCATTTGTCCAAACTGCAGTGGCAGGATATCAGCTCCTACCCCTGAGCAGGCACCTCAGGAAGGGGGCTTTTAGGAGTTTGCTGTTACTTTCCAGCTGGCTGTGAAGTAGGCAAAGATGGCCCCCCTGAGCCACATCACCCCTTGTTCACAGACCGCGCTGTTGCAGTGGAGAAGCCTGACCTCAGTGTGTATGACAGGAGGTGCACCCAGACCATATAACCGCACAGGCTCCTCTTAGGGACAGTGGTTGAGCCTCCTCTAGCCACGCAGAGACATGATACAAGCCTCCCTTAGACACAGGTTGACCACATGTGAGCAGGGAAAGCTGCAGCTAGTTTTGTCTCCTTGTGAAGTTTTTTTCTTTTTGAAAAATAAAAGGTAACCCTGTATCAGTAAGATGCGTCCTGACTGAGGTCTCTGGAGAGCTTCCTCCCCACACTGCTCCCACTCACTGAGCCCTAAGCACGCACATGGCACCAGCATGGCTTTGAAAGGTGGTGTGCACAGTCCGGCACGGGACAGAGAATAGGCCGTGGGCCAGTGCTGCCTGCAGGAGCTGCCTATAGTGGTCCAGTGCTATGCAAACAGCTCAGGCCTCCAGCTTTCACCCTGGCCAGGGGCCCAGACTCTAAATAAAGAGGCTCAAAACTACAGATCTAAGCTCACAGCAAGATTCATGCAAGGCTTCAGGGGGTCACAAAGGCAGCTCCACTTCCTGCCCACCCTCTCTGCGGGGCTTGCTTTGCCACCCACACTTCAAGGCTGCTTTCCTTACGAGAAACCAGGAAAGTGCCACGGGCTCTTGGGCAACTTCTTTCCTTGCCTGGTCATCAAAACCACCCTTAGCCCCTCTGGGAACAGCATGGAGAAAAGCTGGGGCCTCTGGCCATTGGCGAAGTGCTTGACCACTGGCATGATACGCAAAAGTAGCCCAACAGAAGCCCTTGGCCCTGCTCCAAGGGATGTTTAGTCTTTGGGGATGTTAGGGGGTGGGATCTGCAGGTCAGAGGGCTCCACACCCCAGATGTCCCGCGCATACTCAGTGATGGTCCGGTCACTAGAGAACTTGCCCGAGCAAGCAATATTCCTGATGACCTTCTTGGTCCACTCCTTGGAGTTCTGCAGGAAAAGCAGAGGCTGATTATCAGTCTTGGGCACCTTAAAACTTTGGGGACTGTCCCTGGTAAACTCTGAGCCCTGGGGGAGTCTGGCGGAAGAGCAGTCATGTGCTGAAAAAAGGTCCCACAGACCGGGGTCACTTGGGATGAAAATGCCAAAGGATAGGTGTAAGGTCGAGCAGTGTAAGGATGATCCCACCCTGGCAAGCCTGTATTCCACACCACAGTGCACAGGCCCCAACACAGTAGACAAGGCACCTAAGGGATGGCTAAATAGCCTCCCCTTTACTAGGGAGCAGCCCCTCACTGCTTCCTCCAGTGCCATGTAGCCATCCTGGCCAGCCAGCTAGAGGGGCCTCCTTAAAAAAGCAAAGCCCTGTGGGCCAATGGGTGTTGTGTGTGTGTGGAGGGGTCCTCCCAGAACCCCATAGTGTTAAGGAGTGACAGGGCCCACCAGTGACTTACTAAGGTTACAAGTATTAGAATCCCAAGTTGCTCTGGCTCTGGCCAAAGAGCTGCTTTCTTGGCCTGAGAAATGAAGTCTGGCCCCTGCCCCACTCCTGCAGCCACAGCCCACAAGCCTCACCTGGTACAGCTGGTCGACCTGCGCCTGGCACTGTATGTAGGCTTCGTAGTCTGCAAATACCTTGAACCTGAACAGGGATAGGACACTAAGAAGGTGGTGGTGACAGGCAACAGTGGTCCTGCCTAGGTAGCCTGTTCTGTGGTCCCAAGGACAGTCCCACAGCCAGAGGTCACCATCTGCCAGGCCCTGCCCCTTGTGAGGGCCAGGATGCACCAGGTCCACCTGGCCACAGTGTCCTGATGAAGTCACATTCTAACCTAGGATGCCTCTAAGGAAAACATGGACAGGGCAGTGTCACAGGCTTGGGACTGTGCAGGCCCAGGGCCCAAGTACTCTCTGGAGTCCCCATATAGCCATCTGTTCTCAAGCCTGAGTACTGGTGATACAGCTTATGTGCAGTTCCTGATGTTCTGGACAAAAGTGAAGTTACGACTACTGAAATGCACATCTGGTCTGACAGTAAAAGAAATGCAAGTTCACAAGTCTCCATCACAGGCTTGGCAGGGGACAACCTGGGCCAATTAAATCTGCAGGTGACCCAAAGGCAGAGGTAACCTGCAGACAGAGCAGGAGGGCTGTGGTCTCACCCTTGTCCAGAGCAGTTCTGTCCCCCAGGGAGACAAGTCGTGTGGCCAGCCAGTCGTGTAGCCAGAGACAAGCTAGTCTGACCACGTGTTTACAGTTAATTCCTGTTAATTCCCCTTTAACCCAGTGCATCTCTTCCACCCCCTGGCCAGTTCCTGCTGCCCTGTCTGCTCTTGAGCTCCCCCTCCTGGCCTCCTGAGAACATGGCAGACTTTGGGGCTCCAGCACGCTGACCTATCTCATTCCACATGGTCTGGCCCTTGCCATTATAGCAACTCTCCCAGCCAATCCCATCCCAAAGTTTTGTGGGCTGAGGTGGTGAGGCTTCCCCTCTCAGCCCATCAGGTGGCCCAGATCTGTCCCAGGGTCAGGGTCCATGTGTGGGCTGCAGGGAGGGGCCCTACCTGTCATGGTGCATCAGCATGTTGACTACATCTTTGAAGCACTCTGGGTCTTTGGGGGAAAAGAAGCCGCTGCTGATCTGGTCCACGGCCTGCCTCAGCTCAGGGAGGCGCTCGTAGTACTCTCTGGCATTGTACCTGTGGGGAGATGGGCTGCTAGGTATCTGCACCCCAGCAGGGACCCACAGCCAGGGCCTGCATTGGAAGAGCTGCCCCCAAGTGGGACCCCAGAACTGTGCCACAGACACGGCTGAGAATCGCCCGAGTGGCTGGGAGACAGCTGCTTCCCACTTGTGGAGGTCGCGCCACTGGCCCAGGCTTCAGCTGGGCACTGACCCGGCTCAGCTCAACCCCTCCCCCAGTGCTGCTACGTGCCCTGGTGCACAGAGGGGACACACACCCTTTCCGGTCCAGGGCCTCGACCTCCTCCACCCGCAGGCCAAAGATGAAGAGGTTCTCAGGGCCTGCCTCCTCAGCCATCTCCACATTGGCCCCATCCATGGTGCCGATGGTGAGTGCCCCGTTGAGCATGAACTTCATGTTGCCGGTGCCCGAGGCCTCAGTGCCCGCAGTGGAGATCTGCTGTGACAGGTCGGCGGCTGGGATCACTGCAGGCAGGAGTCAGGTCAGCCCAGCCTCACCTTCTCTTTCTGTGCTCTTCCTTCCTCCCAGCCCCTTGGTGAGTGCTCCTACACAGCCAGCTCTCTGTGCCTGGTGGTCACTGCCTTTGTAGGGCTCCCCTCCTTGCCTGGGCCAAGCGAGGCAAGGGAGCCATGACAGCAAACACAAGAAGCTGCCCAAGTGACCCAGCATTTTGTTTCTGGAACTTTCCTGGGACCCTCCCCCCAGCCCAAGAGGAACGTGGCGCCATGCACAGCACTGCCCATCCCACCCACCCTGTCCACCCTGGCAGGAGAGGCACAGGCCTCCACCTACCTTTCTCAGCCAGGGACACCCGGTAGTTCTCCAGGAAGATCACTCGGAGCCTGTCACCCACAACTGGATCATGATTGACGACACTGC